GGGTGCCTGTAATCCCAGCTACTCGGGAGGCTGAGGCAGGAGAATCACTTGAACCTGGGAGGCGGAGATTGTGGTGAGCCAAAATCGTGCCACTGCACTCCAGTCTGGGCAACAGAGTGAGACTCCGTCTCAAAAAATAAATAAATTTTGTTCTTTTTTAAAAAAGCAAAAAAAATTAGCCAGATGTAGTGATGCGTGCCTATACTCTCAGCTCCTTGGGAGGCTGAGGTGGGAGCCCAGGAGGTCAAGGCTGCAGTGAGCAGTGATCACACCACTGCACTGCTGCCTCAACGGCAGAGTGAGACCCTGACTCTTTTAAAAAAAAGGTGTTTAATGTAAAAAATAAGACTCTGTTGCATTTCTTTTATTCTCCATTGGTAACCACACATGAACACACAGTTATGTTGTTGTATGTTTATTTTTTTAAAAATAGGCTGGGTGTGGTGGCTTACCCCTGTAATCCTAACACTTGGGAGGGAGGCCAAGGTGAGCCAATTACTTGAGCCCAAGAGTTCGAGACTAGCCTGGGCCACATAACAAAACCCCATCTCTACTAAAAATATAAATATTACCCAGGTGTGGTGGTGCACACCTGTAGTCCCAGCTACTAGGCAGACTGAGGTGAGAAGATCACCTGAGCCCAGGGAGGTTGAAGTTGCAGTGAGCCGTGATTTTGCCAGTGCTCTTCAGACTGGGCAATGGAGTGAGACCCTGTCACCCTTCCCCCTACCCTATAAAGGAGTATATGGTGCATATTCTACAAGCTTTCCTTCTTTTTTTTTTTTTTCTTGAGACGAGGTCTCACTCTGTTGCCCAAGCTGGAGGGCAATAGTGCGATCTCAGCTCACTGCAACCTCCACCTCCCCGGTTCAAGCGATTCTTTTGCCTCAGCCTCCCGAGTAGCTGGGACTACAGGCACGTACCACCATGCCCAGCTAATTTTTGTATTTTTAGTAGAGATGAGGTTTCACTGTGTTGGCCAGGCCAGTCTCGAACTCCTGACCTCATGATCCACCTGCCTTGGCCTCCCAAAGTGCTGGGATTACAGGCATGAGCCACTGCACCTGGCCCAAGCTTTCCTTCTTTTTACGGAATATCTTGGGCCATCTTTCTGTGTCAGTTAGTTCTCAGATCTATTAGTGACAATAGAATATATCGGATGCACCGTAATAATTTTAACCAACCCCTCTACTGATTTATACTTAGAATTGCTTCCATCTTTTGCCTTTACAAAATGCTCCCCAGCCTGGGCAACAAGGGAAACCCTGTCTCTACTAAAAATGCAAAAATTAGCCCAGCATAGTGGTGCATGCCTATAGTCCCAGCTAACTCGGGAGGCTGAGGTAGGAGGATCGTTTGAGCGTGGGAGGCATAGGTTGCAGTGAGCAGAGATCACACCACTGCACTCTAGCCCGGGTGACAGAGTGAGACCCCATTTCAAAAACAAAAATACAAAAAAAAAAAGATACTCCCTAGTGAATATCCTTGTTCATTTCTCTTTGTGCATATGTAGAATAAATTCCTAGAAGTTAAATAGCTGGGCCAAAGGGTCTGAGCATATAATTTTTGAGCAATATTAATAAACCACTTGCTCTAAAGGCTGTACCAGCCTGTCATCCTTCTAACAGTGTATGTAACAGTCTCTTGCTATCAGTGTATTTTCTTCCTAAACTTTTTGGTAATCTTACAGTTGAAAAGTAAAAATTGATTTGATGTCCTTTTCTCTGATACGCTGAGGAAGTTGGGCCTTTTTGGTGTTTTCTGCTATTGGCCCTGTGTGTTTCCTCTTCTGATCTTGCTTACTCATGACCTTGGTCCGTTTCCCAGTTGTCTTGTTGCCTGCATAATTCTAAGCCTGAAGCCTAGGAGAGGTCTGAATCTGATGCCTCCATAACTCTGGGTTCCTTCTCCCACAGGTGGATGAAACTCAGTTTAAGAAGATCCTCGGCTACATCAACACTGGGAAACAAGAGGGGGCAAAGCTGCTGTGTGGTGGGGGCATTGCTGCTGACCGTGGTTACTTCATCCAGCCCACCGTGTTTGGAGATGTGCAGGATGGCATGACCATCGCCAAGGAGGAGGTGAGCACCTGGGGCCGGTGTTCTGGGAACGTTTTTGGTGGGAGACGAGGTAAACAGTTCAGCCTGGCATCCTGCCACTGTCACCCATCTGCTGGCTTGGGGCCAGATCTGGAGTTAATGCCCAGAACCAGTGCCCATAACAAGTTATTCATAGTATGTATCTGATCTTGTCGCTCCTCTTCAGCTTGTACCCTCTGTCTGGGAGATCGTCTGCATTCCTTAGCATGGCCTGCAGGCCTTCGTGTCGTGGCCCTCAGAGCCAAGAGTCTAGGAATGACGTTGCCTGCTCCTTCCCATGACCTTTTTTTTTCTTTTTTTTCAGTCAGAGTCTTGCTCTGTTGCCCAGGCTGGAGTGCAGTGGCATAATCATGGCTGCTTACAGCCTTGAACTCCTGGGCTCAAGTGATCCTCCCACCTCAGCCTCCTGAGTAGCTGGGACTACAGGTGCTCACCACCATGCCTGGCTAATTTTTAAAAAAATTTTTAGTAGAGGCTGGGTGCAGTGGCCCATGGCTGTAATCCCAACACTTTGGGAAGCCGAGGCGGGTGGATCACCTGAGGTCAAGAGTTCGAGACCAGCCTGGCCAACATGGCGAAACCCTGTCTCTATTAAAAGTAAGAAAAAATTAGCCCAGTGTGGTGGCACTTGCCTGTGATCCCAGCTACTCTGGAGGCTGAGGCAGGAGAATCACTTGAACCCCGGAGGCTGAGGTTGCAGTGAGCTGAGATCATGCCACTGCTCTCCAGCCTGGGTGACAGAGCAGGACTCCATCTCCAATTTTAGCCACGCCTGGCTAATTTTTGTATTTTTAGTAGAGACAGGGTTTCACCATGTTGATCAGGCTGGTCTCAAACTCCTGACTTCGTGATCTGCCCGCCTTGGCCTCCCAAAGTGCTGGGATTACAGGTGTGAGCCATCACACCCGGCTTATTTTTTCTTTTCTTTTTTTGAGATAGAGTCTCACTCTGTCGCCAGGCTGGAGTGCAGTGGCACGATCTCGGCTCACTGCAACCTCTGCCTCCCGGGTTCAAGTGATTCTCCTGCCTCAGCCCCTACTAATAGCTGGGATTACAGGCACGCACCACCACACCCAGCTAATTTTTCTTATTTTTAGTAGAGACAGGGTTTCACCATGTTGGCCAGGCTGGTCTCGAACTCCTGACCTCAGGTGATTCACCTGCCTCAACCTCCCAAAATGCTGGGATTACAGGTGTGAGCCATCGTGCCCAGTTTCTTTTTTTTTTTTTTTTTTTTTTTTTTTAGTAAATACAAGGTCTCACTGCGTTTGACAGGCTGGACTCAAACTCCTAGACTCAAGCAGTTCTCCCACCTTGGCCTCCCAAAGTGCTGGGATTACAGGCATGAGCCACATGAGCCACAGTGCCCAGCTGACTTAAATTCTTTCACACTAAATCTACATGTCACGTGTGAATAACATACCTGGCAGAATTGTTTAGAAATGGGAAACTGTATGTAAAGCCCGGGGACCACAGGAGGAAGTTGGCCCCTGTTAGCTCCATTCCCTCTGTGTTCTGCTGAGCTTGATGACTGTTGTCTTCCCCTGAAACTGTTAGAGCATGGCTGGGGGCTCATCCCCCAATCTGGAATCATCTGTTCTGCTCTGTGAGAGCTCGATGGCAGGTGCCTCTGTGTTGCTGAAATCCCCTACTCTGCTCTGTCCCTCCAGATCTTCGGGCCAGTGATGCAGATCCTGAAGTTCAAGACCATAGAGGAAGTTGTTGGGAGAGCCAACAATTCCACGTACGGGCTGGCCGCAGCTGTCTTCACAAAGGATTTGGACAAGGCCAATTACCTGTCCCAGGCCCTCCAGGCGGGCACTGTGTGGTAAGAGCCTTCCAGCAGCCCCTCACAACCCAACAGAGATTCCTCAAAGCCAGGGCCTTCTGGAATCCAGTGGTCACCATCCTGGAATTTGGGGAGCTGGGCTCAGTTTCTCCTGGGTCAGGGTGTGATGTTGATTTGAGAGGTCCTGCTACCTCACCTCCGAGGGATCAAGCTTCTCTGTGGTGCAAACGCCCTGCACCTGTCCTTGGCAGGCAGCTGGGTGGTGGGCCTCCTCCCCAGCTGCCTCAGGGCAGGAGACCAGAGCAGAGGGACCCGTGATTGTGACACTGATCCTAAAAACTTAGCCCCCGCTTCACACTTAGCCCCACTAGGATGGCTATATATTTACTATTTTATTTATTTTTAGTTTTATTTTTTGAGACAGAAAAAAATACTCCACCCAGGCTAAAGTGCTGTGGGGTACGAATATAGCTCACTGCAGCCTTGAACTCCTGGGCTCAAGCAATCCTCCCACCTCTGCCTTTGGTAGGCCAAGGTTGAAAGGGTGGCCTGCGCCTCCATACCTGTGGGCGTTTCTCGCTAGGTGGAATGAGAGACTTGAGAAAAGAAATGAGACACAGAGACAAAGTATAGAGAAAGAAAAAGTGGGCCCAGGGGACCGGTGCTGAGCATACAGAGGACCCACGCCGGCACCGGTCTCTGAGTTCCCTCAGTGTTTATTGATCATTATCTTCACCATCTTAGAAAAAGGGAAGTGGCAGGATAATGGGATTATCATAGGGAGAAGGTAAGCAGTAAGACATATAAATAAATAAAAACTGTGACATGAATAGTTTTAAGGAAAAGTGCTGTGCCTTGATACACATATGCAAACATCTCCATAAACCTTTTTAGTGCATAAAGAGCAGCATTGTCACTAGCACGTCCCACCTTCAGCCCTAAGGCGGTTTTCTCCTTTCTCAGTAAACAGAACATACAATCGGGTTTTACACCGAGATGTTTCATTGCCCAGGGATGGGCAGGAGACAGATGCTTTTCTCTATCTCAACTGCCAAGAGGCCTTCTTTCCTCTTATACTAGTCCTCTTCAGCACAGACCCTTCACGGGTATCAGGCTGGGGGATGATCAGGTCTTTCCCTTCCCACGAGGCCATATTTCAGACTATCACATGGGGAGAAACCTTGGACAATACCTAGCTTTCCTAGGCAGAGGTCCCTGCGACCTTTGGCAGTGTACGTGTCCCTGGGTACTTGGGATTAAGAGAATGGTGATGACTATTCACAAGCATACTGCTTTCAGGCATTTGTTTAACAAAGCACACCCTGCACAGCCCAAAATCCGTTAAACCTTGAGTCACCACAGCACATGTCTCTTGCAAGGACAAGGTTGGGGGTAGGGTCACAGATTAACAGCATCTCAAATACAGAACAAAATGGAGTCTCTTATGTCTACTTCT